GCTCTGCAGGATCTGACAGTGATCACAGAGTAAACAAACAAGTCACTGAGCATCTTAACCTTGCATCCTGTGTGTCTCTCAGAATGCTGTGCTTTATTTCCAGGTCTGGCCGATGTGTTAAGGATGTCGTGTCCTGGTGTGGATTGAGTCCTGACTCTCAACAGGAGCTGATTCACAGCGTTGTAAATAGTGTCGCTGAATCTCTCAAACAAGCCTTGTGCCCACTGACCCGTGATTGCTTTCATTCTCGGCGCAGCTCTCTCAAAGCGCTAAAAACCCCTGCGCCGTGTGTTTGAAGGAAAGATATGAAAGCGTGGTTTGGTGTCTTGGCCGTAGGGAGCATCTGTGTGTACATGTGTATGAAATATTTGATGATTTCTATGAAGATACGACAGTTGCGGTATGTGCTGTGTGTGTGAGATATCAAAGTTTGAGAGGTGAGAGTGAGTGACTGTGGATTTGATAAGGCTTATGGGTTTCTGTCAGTCCATATCTGTCGGCTTTAATAAATGCGTGTGTGAGTGAGTAAACAAAGCCCGGAGCTGTTCGCGCCGCTTGAGTCACCTCTGAGCAAGAGAGGTCCAGTAAGTTGGCGCGAGCCTGGGACTCGTAACTCAACATGGCCCCCCGAGTTAGACAAGTCAGCTCATTTTGGCGATATAAATCATCATCCAGAACTGCTCAGACTCGACCGAGCTTCTGTAAAACACCTGCAAAAAAACTTGGTCTAAAAGAATGACAGGAAAAATGTGATTTACAGTCGAATACATGTCAACCACACCTGATAAAAAGGCACAGATGCCAACAAACTGTTTTCTGTCGTGTTTGTGAGTGATTCCCTGGTTTTTGAATGCTGAAGTTTCTGAAGTTTACAGAAAAGATTAGAATGGTCGTGTTTGTTGGAATTGCCGGGTTTGGTTCCGGAGCGCCGCTCGCTTGCTTGTTTTCCGCCTCGTTAGTCAGAAACAAAGAAACACGCAGCATTGTTTGCACCAACAAAGATACAGAGAAGACTTTTTCTCCTCCTGGGGACCCCATGAAATCGAAATTGGAGTTTTGTGGCTTTTAGTGTGTGTTTGTTAGCTTTTAGACTTGTGTACACTCTTAAAAATTAATGACTTCTAAACAGGGGTTTTCACAGTGATTCCGTAGAAGAATCATTTGGGTTCCCCAAAGAGCATTTCAGTTGAACAGCTCTTAAAGGAATAGTTCACGCAAAATGTAAAATTCGCTGAACTTTTGACTCACCTTTAGGCCATTCAAGATGAAGATGAGTTTGTTTCTTCATTCATTTCTTACAAACACAGACCTTTCACTTTGATGGACTATAGTGGATTACTTGTGGATTATTGTGATGTTTTTATCAGCTGTTTAGACTCTTATTCTGGCGGCACCCATTCACTGCAAAGGATCCATAGGTGAGCAAGTGATGTAATGCTACATTTCTTCAAATCTTTTCTGGAAGAAATTTTTAATAATCTAAAGAAACTTTTTTTCACTGTAAAGAACCTTTTGCGCAATGGAAAATGTACATGGATGTTAAAAGTTCTTCGTGGAACCATTGATCCCAGTCTATTGGGTGAGGGGTCTGTGACGACTTGTTAATCTAATGAATAACTGATTTGTTAAATCAAATGAAAAATTGTGTTTTTGATTGGTCCAGACGCTACACCAATAAAGACGTTTTAGTTTATAATAAACTTTTAACAGATGCGTGTTTAAAATGTTCTTTTTATTTCTATCCTGGGAAAATTGACATCAAATACTATCACTGACTAGCAAGTAGCAAATCCTAGTTTGGCCTTTTATCTTTAACCTTGTCATATGTGGGTGTTTCTACAGCTTCAAACACTTTAATGTTGATTTTTTATGAAAATGAACTGATTTTAACTTTCTTTCTTTTTTTGACACGAAGGTTATGTTCTTGGAAACTTTTGACCATGCATTCATCACTTATTTTGCTGCTTTTCAAATGCCTTTATGTGTAGTTTTTATTGTTTTACCCTCGTCCCAGAGCAGATTTAATCATCTAAACAAAGAGGATCATGTGACACTGAAGACTGGAGTAATGATACTGACAATTCAGCTTTGCATCACAGGAATAAATTACATTTTAACATATATTCAAATAGAAAACAGTTCTTTTAATTTGTAATAATATTTCACAATATTACTGATTGCACTGTAAATTGTGAAATATTATTGCATTTCATCCGTGGGACTAGTGATGTGCCCTGCAAGTACACTCAGACAATAAAAGAGTATTTAAAACTGCTGCAGGGACCCATAGCTAATGATTAGTGATATTTATTCCAAACACAACAATGATTGTTTAACGGCGATCGCTACAAAGATTGACTCTCACAGCCCCTCAGAGGAAGGACTAGTGCGTATCATAATTATGAAGTAGATTATGGTGCTGATGAATCTGGAGACTATTATCACCGTGCCAGAGATAATGATAATCTGTGTTGCGTCTCTTTCAGAGGGCTTCGGCCTGTCTGTAGAGTGCCACGGCTTCCGTCAGCCCTCCCTACAGATCCTCTCTTCAAAATCCACGCGATTAATATTTCATTTAAAGTTCAGAGCTTTCCGCATCCGTACGCAGCAAAATCATAGCTGAAAAATACAGCTCGGAGACATACAATACATCTTCCACCCTCTCCCTCCCTCCCTCCTACATGAATACTCACTCTCTGCCTTTCTGTCTTTCGCTCTCTCTGCCTCTTTTCCCTTTCGTTTGCCGGCTCTCCTGCTGCCGTTTCCTCTTTTGTTCTTTCTATCTCTCCCCTAATCTCTCCTCATGCCTTTCTCCTCCTCTGAATAATACACAGTGTTAATACACTGTGCAAAGAAGCCATATTGTATTCCCACAGTGTGTTTCTGTGATCATCTTCTCTTGGCTGCACTCAGCTTTAATGAATGTTAGGAGTTATTAGCTGGCACAAACTGCTTCTGGTGAATCACACTGTCTCAGCCTTTGTTGTTTACGTGATTCATTTTCTGTTCTGGAGCAAATTTGGCTCTTAAAAGAAGCAAGGAATCATCAGTGTCCTGCTTTATATTTCTATCACACTCTCTTTTTTGGATCTTTCTTATTCTGCCTCTCTGATATCCTCTTTCCAAAAGCATGTTTGGAATTTGTGGAATTAATAATTAGTGTTTTTGCAGCAAATACTGTAATGATGCTCCTCAAACATTCTGTTTCTAAAACTTAGGAAATTCTGCAATTAGTTTTAGTTTGAATCACTTTTATCTATCTATCTATCTATCTATCTATCTATCTATCTATCAATGTGTCTGTCTATTTTTTATATTGTATTTTTATTTTATTTAGAATTTTTCTTAGATTTCATTTTTCATTTTATGTATTTTTTAGTGATTTTGTTTTGGTCATTTTATGTGCTTTTTTCATTTTTGTTGTTTTTAAATAGTAACCATAGCAACCACATAGCAACACATTAAACACTCAGAACACCCTAGCAACCGCATAGCAACATGCTAAAATGTTTAACCCCTTAACAACAGCATAGCGATGATGGTAACCATCCAAAACACCCTAGCAATCACATAGCAACACCTTGGAAACCACATAATGCACTAAAAATATCCTAGCAAATACTCTGCAACCACATATCAACACCCTGACAGCCACATGTCAATGTGTTAAAAACATTCAAAAAACAACTGCATAGCAACACCCTGGCAACCACCCAAAAACACTTAGAACACCCGTGCAAAAACCTAATAACATCCTTACACTCTAGCAACAGCATAGCCAAAAAATGGAAAACACTTAAAAACACCCTAGCAACCACCTAAAAATGCCCTAGTAAACACTCAGATCACTCTAGCAGCCACATAGCAACACCCTGGCAACCACAATGTGCACTAAAATGACTTAAAACACCCTAGCAAACATTCAGAACACTTTTGCAAGCACAAAGCAACACCCTGGCAATGGGCTAAACAGTATCACACTCTCTTTTTTGGATCTTTCTTATTCTGCCTCTCTGATATCCTCTTTCCAAAAGCATATTTGGAATTTGTGGAACTAATAATTAGTGTTTCTGCAGCAAATACTGTAGTGATGCTCCTCAAACATTCTGTTTCTAAAACGTAGGAAATTCTGCAATTAGTTTTATTCTGAATCACTTTATTCCGTCTATCTATCTATCTATCTATCTATCTATCTATCTATCTCTGTCTGTCTGTCTGTCTGTCTGTCTGTCTGTTTGTCTTTCTGTCTGTCTGTATGTCTGTCTGTCTAACTATTCGTCTGTCCATCCATCCATCCATGCTTTTATCACACTTACTGTTACTCATATTTAAAATTAGGGATTGATCCAATAAAATTCATTAATATAAAATAAAATATCTAAGTAAACTTAGTAACTGATCCGTTTGTGGTACAAACATGAATTATTATGGACCAGAATATCACTCTTTTGACTTGATCCAGTAAGCAACCACCCAAATCACCCTAGAAACCATATAAAAGTTAACTGAGAACCACTCAGAACTCTTTGGCAACACATTTGTTTTTGTTATGGTGATTGATCATGGTATAAGATCTGATGCGTGTCTCTCGTGTGAGATGAGAAACACTTTTCATTCTCTTATGGAATGCAGTAGATTGCCTGCGTTATTTGCGGTCTCTAATTAGGTTTAAACAGACTCAGGCAGGTTTTCTCTTTTTTAGAGTTTTATTTTTGGCCCGCGATATAGCTGCCGCACACGAAGACAGAAGAGCCGGTTATTAAACTGTCTTATAACTGCAGAAAAACTGTCTGTGAGAACAAAAGGCAAGGCATGGCTTCCTTTGCAGTGTTTTTTTTTATTTTTTTATAAAAGTCTAGTTTAGGATGGAGGTCAGATTGATTTGAAATGGCTATAGGGGGTTTGTATAAATGCCTTTCACATATAATGAGATTAATGATGATGTTCTAATTTGAGTGTTTTTGCCTGATTATTTTCTACACCATCTCTGTTTCCTGCAGGTATGTGGTCATTTTCTGTCTCTGAACTGGCCATCCCTGGGGTAGAGATCGGTCGTCTGTCGGCAACAGATGCAGACCTGGGTGAAAACGCTCGGATGGATTTTATGATCGTGGACGGAGAGGCAGGGGACACCTTCAACATAACTGGATTGAACCAGGAGGCTGTGATTTTGTTAAACAAGGTGGGAGTGGAGAAATGGAAATACCTACAGTAATGTTGTTTTCTTTCATACATTCCCAAATCAGAAGCAAATCCAATTTTATGCTGTATCTGACTCAAAACTGTTCAGTTGTTTGTCTTACAGTTTTTCTCAATTGCTTTGGCACATTTTTCGAAACAGTCTTAACATTCTCTAAACTGTGAGTGCAAATGTCACAACGGTTTGCTGGAACTTCAGAACTTTATTGCATGTCTGCAAAATGTAGTTACTCACCCAAAACATTTCATTCATGCTTCAAAACCTAGTTATCGTGTCAGTAATTTGGCCAAGGCCACCAAAATATAAAGCATTTGTGTCATCGTGTGAGCCACACTGGTCAAAATGTTTAGTTGTTTTTTCACCATGACAGTCAACCATGGAAATTAAGGTTTTATCAAAAAAAATCTGATATTTGTTGAGAAGAGTCAATAGTACATAGAAAAAAAAAGTATATGAACATTTGTATTTATAAAGTACATTTATTTTTGTACGAATGTATTACATGTAAAGTGAAATCTTGCTTGTCCAATTACTGTACATTTCATATTTCTTATGTTACCACAAATACACAAAAATACCTCTCAAATGGCACCTTGTAGAGTTGTTTCATAGTCATTTGATGTCTTTTCAAAACTCTGTCTATGGTGATAATGCTGACAGAATTTATATTTGCAAAGACGTTATTGTCATTTATGATTGCACTTTGGCTCTCTCGTAGCCTGATGGAATTGTTGGGTATTCTTACACGTCTTCCAATTGCTCTTCCACAAGCATGTTGCTGTAGTTCAGGGTTGTGGAAGTCCTCCATTCTCAAAAAATTGTAGTGATTGCGCTGTGGGCAATCTACATATATATGCTCCCAAACTTGATTGGTTAAATGGCTGAATGGTTGATTCAAATTGTATTTCAATTAGAGGTCATTTGCCAGTTTAGCAGACATTACAAACAATGTCAATGTCAGATATATATGGAATATACTGTACATGCGTGTATACCAATTTTTCATAATTGAATGGATCGTTTTGAATGTGATGGCTTACACGATGAAAAATGATTGAGAAGTTGTGAAGAGTTTGACAGTTTAAGTGATAATCGACTCATCAGTTTTGATCAACAAGCCATATGCAATTAGTTGTTGTGCAAACTGCAGACAATTGTACTTACTGTTTGCACACGTGCCAAAGCATTTGCAATTTGCTCAAATCAATAAGAAATTCCAATCTGATGTGAACAAGAAGCTAATTGTTCAGAGATCTGAACTTATTGTTTCGGGGAAAAAAAATTTCATTCAAGAATTGAGCCAAAGCAATTGAGAAAAACTGTAACAGTAAAAAACGCACAAGTAGTGAATGAGTGAGCGGGTTCAGACAGACACAGCATGTACTATATGAATATGCATATAAGCAAAGATAACAGCAAACTTTCCCGTTTTCTGTCCTCTTTGCCTATACAGACATTCTCTTACGTTGTTAGACATCGTATTGATGCTTTCATTACTATGGCAACCAATGTAGCTGCACCACATATGGATTACATTGACCGTCTAAACGAATAAATTCTATTTCATTACTTGCAAAATTACAGTATTAGTCTCAAAGGATGAATGTAGCAAATATGCAGCATTAGAAAAGCTATAGATTGGAGGATGGGTAATTTTGAATGTGGCTAGTGAACAACTAGCAACTGCATAACAGCTGGTGTTATTTTAGGTTTATAGTAAAAACACTATAATAGAATATACATTCTATTATAGTATTTTTTATATAGTATTTTTATTTTATTTTGAATTTTTCTTAGATTTCATTTTTCATTTTATGTATTTTTTAGTGATTTTGTTTTGGTCATTTTATGTGCTTTTTTCATTTTTTGTTGTTTTTAAATAGTAACCATAGCAACACATTAAACACTCAGAACACCCTAGCAACCGCATAGCAACATGATAAAATTTGTAACCCCTTAATAACAGCATAGCGATGATGGTAGTCATCCAAAACACCCTAGCAATCACATAGCAACACCTTGGCAACCACATAATGCACTACAAATATCCTAGCAAATACTCTGCAACCACATATCAACACCCTGACAGCCACGTCAATGTGTTAAAAACATAAAAAAACAACTGCATAGCAACACCCTGGCAACCACCCAAAAACACTTAGAACACCCTTGCAAAAACCTAATAACGTCCTTACACTCTAGCAACAGCATAGCCACAAATGGAAAACACTTAAAAACACCCTAGCAACCACCTAAAAATGCCCTAGTAAACACTCAGGTCACTCTAGCAGCCACATAGCAACACCCTGGCAACCACAATGTGCACTAAAAATGCACTAAAATGACTTAAAACACCCTAGCAAACATTCAGAACACTTTTGCAACACCCTGGCAACCACATGGCAATGGGCTAAAACAGTCTGAGCACCTTAACAACTGCATAGGAACACCCTGGCAACCCAAAGGTTGAATGTGACAAATATGCAGTGTTAGAAAAGCAGTGGATTGAGGGCTGGGCTCTTTTTGAGTGTGGCTAGTGAGCATCTATGCAAAACCCTAGCAACACCCTGACAACTACCCAGAGCACTCAAGCAACTGCATAGCAACACATTAAAAACACTCAGAACACTCAGCAACCACCTAGTAATGCCCTAGCAAATATGCAGAATACTCTAGCAACCACATAGCAACACCCTGGCAACCACAGGCCAGTGCACTAAAAACAACTACCCTAGTAACCACATAGCAACATCCTAAAAACACTCCAAACACCTTAGCAGCCGCATAACAACACTCTGGCAACCCAAAGGTTGAATGTGGCAAATATGCAGTGATAGAAAAGCAATAGATTGAGGGCTGGGCTCTTTTGAGTGTGGCCAGTGAGCAACTACACAAAAACCCTAGCAACACCCTGGCAACTACCCAGAGCACTCAAGCAACTGCATAGCCACACATTAAAAAACTCTGAACACCCTAGCAACCACCTAGTAATGCCCTAGCAAAACTCAGAATACTCTAGCAATCACATAGCAGCACCCTGGCAACCACAAGCCAGTGCACTAAAAATAAATACCCTAGTAACCCCATAACAACATACCAAAAACACTCTAAATCAGGGGTGCCCAAATTCAGTCCTGGAGGGCCGGTGTCCTGCAGAGTTTAGCTCCAACTTGCCTCAACACACCTGCTGGGAAGTTTCTAGTATGCCTAGTAAGACCTTGATTAGCTTCAGGTGTGTTTAATTAGGGTTGGAGCTAAACTCTGCAGGACACCGGCCCTCCAGGACTGAGTTTGGGCACCCCTGCTCTAAATGCTTATGAAGCTGCATAGCAACAGCCTGGGAACCAACAACAGTGCCTCAGTATTGTGGTAATACACTGGCAAGCATGACTAATGTGGTAATACACTGGCAAGTATTTTCCTTCAGAAAGTGAAACGCTTTAGTTGTATTTACGTTGTATTTATTCAGAATAGCGAAAGGGCAAAGTAAAAAGCAAAGCAATAACAAAGAAAGAAGTTCCAGCAGAATGAATCGCAAATGAGTTAAATTGACTCTGAGTTCAAATGTAAATGAGGATAATCTGCAGCGCAAATGTCTGCCAGTGAACATGCATATTAGCGCCGACGGAAAGAGAATTTAACCTGCGGCCCCCGGAGAGACCTCATCACAGCGCACACAGGCAGCTGTTATTTAAATACAAACTTCGCAGGGACTGAAAATGTGCATTTCATATAAAAGGACTTTGTGTGATGGTAAGTCACACGTAACTAATTGAAAAGAGAAAAGATTCCACCTTTTAGACTAATGAAAATAAGCAAATTGTAAAATGAATCGCAAGCTATTTTCTGCCCTGACAAGTTCTTATAAAGACAGATATGCATGTGCCTGTGTGTGAGTGAGAGATCTTTACCCAGCCGCTGAGCTCAATACTTCAATGACAGGTGTGTGTGTGTGTGTGTGTGTGTGTGTGTGCTAGTTAAAGACACAGCCAGAATAAACAGAACAAGGAGAGACGCGTATAAAAAGAAAACAGGAAAGAGAAGGTTGCGAGGAACTAGATGAGTCAGAGACACGGGGGGAGGAGGAGAAAAGAGTGAATACGAAAAGCAAATTAGACAGAGGAAGAGCGCGGGGAGACTAATGCCGCTGAGTAACAAGGGAGAGGAAGCGCATGGAAATGTTGATTAACACATGGCTGTAGTTCAAGTGACAGAGCTTTTCATGTGTGTTAGTGGCTCTCAGCTCTGCTTATGCCCACTGCTCCACTGCATACCACTTCGACAGGCCTTACAGTACTCGATTATATATTTTGCAGCATTTTATTTTTCTCCTCAAGTCCACTTATACTTTTAGTTATGGCTCAGAGCTGTGACCCAAATCCTATGTCATGATATGATGAATTTTATTTTACAATAACAGTACGTATTATGATAGTTGATTTGTCTGTAAATTCATAATGGTTATCTATCTATCTATCTATCTATCTATCTATCTATCTATCTATCTATCTATCTATCTGTCTGTCTGTCTGT